GTTTGTCAACCAACCACGTGGCAAATTAGAGTTCCAACGCATGCGCAGTTACTTGCCTTTTCCGCATCTCGTCGATCTGCTCTTCTAGCAAACACCAAACAAATGAAATATATAGCATACACGACCGCTACAGTGGTCACTATCACGTATAAATCTTCAATGCTGGGATTTAAGACCTTGTTCCAGTCGATCGCGTTTGGGGGGACAATACACGAGGTCGTGAATGAAGTCAAGTGGTTACAGAGGCATCGCGTCTCATCAGGAGTAGTTTCGGGTGAAACCTGTTTAATCAATATTGCGTATTAGTACGTCTCTATTTGCGTATCAGTACGTCTCTATTTGTGTATTAGTACGTCTCTATTTGCGTATTAGTACGTCTCTATTTGCGTATYAGTACGTCTCCATTTGCGTATTTGTACGCAAGTTAAATGTATTTCTAAAAGCAAATCGCTCATACCTCACAGCCGTCTGTCAGCCAAGATTCATCCGCTGGGTCCCAAAAGACACACATGCTTGTGAACATCATCACTGTTGCATTTCCAGGAAGGTAATTACCAGGAAGGTAATTCACGACGCCTGAACCGTTTCTCGGTTTTGGTACAAATCCCAATTTGTAYTGACCTGCTCCTGAGTGATTAAAAGTTTTGGGTGAAAGAAATAGCTTAAACGGGTCGGTGTTATTGGAATCTTTGCTGCAGTTGGTCTCAAAGTCCCACTGGTCMTCGTGTGGTAAGTGGAATATCATGTCATAGTCGTCTTCTTTGGGGTAGBAGTCTTTTTTTATGTAAACTGTAAAGCCATAGTCGCAGGTATTTGGGAATAGAAAGATGGTTATCGCAGAGTCATTCTGCTGCAACTCAAAGCTATAATAGTTCATATCGTTGTCCTTTATCCATACCCAGCTTGGTASAACAGGATTGTCCYGGCGTGGTATTACCAATAGGAATGGCTCTTTTAGATTTTCGATCTTAAGTGGTTTTTTGGTGGAACTGTTCAAGTACTCAAGAKTGACMAAGTTTCCTCCTGTCGTCAACTCTGCWYKTTTKCCGAAGTTAAAAACGTTGTTGCTTGTCATCATAGCCTGTGAATACAACAACATAAATATCAGTGAAATACCTGTGTTTTGCTAACAGAATCTTTTAAGGCTGATTYACACGGCACGATTGTCTCGTGCGATTTGTAGTATACGACTTGAATCGCGCAGTGTAAATGCCCCTACGACTTGTCTAMAACAGTCGYACGCAACCTACGACTTGTAGTAGGACTTTGAACCACTGCTTAAAATCCTACGACTTGTCGTAGGAAAATCGTATACTACAAGTCGCGCGCGACAGATCGTACCGTGTAAATCAGCCTTTAGAGTTAACTGAAAAAATAGCTGAGATGAAATGTTAACTGAGAATTCCGTTTTTTGTTTTGTTGTTGTTGTTGTTGTTGTTGTTGTTGTTTTTGTGTTTTTTTTGTCAGGTTTGTTTTATATTACGACGCATTTCTATTTTCAAGCATAAACCAAAGCTCATAAAATATGACAGTAAATCAAAGGTCGTCATCCGATTGAACATTTGATTTACTAGCCGGAAAGCTAAAATCTGTAAGTATCGCCAAGTAAGTTTCTTATCAATGGAAACCCTGTAGGTAATCGCATCTTTTGAAGGCGTGTGCAAAGAGAAAAATAGTGAATCAATACCCACCATGGAATCCGTAGGTGGGGGCTCTTCTCCTCCGCCTTTGTCCTTACCACCTAATATCGATGGAACCTGTGCGCTTAAGCCACCATCTAGTTTAATGGTAGCATTAGCAAGGCTTTGAGGGGTTTGTCGATTTAGTTGCATTTCCATGCCAGGTGTTGTAAGTTTCAAAGGCTTCTCGCCAGCACTCATTGTTTGAAGACCGGAATCCGCTATTTGCTTAGTTACACCCATCACCTTGTTGGCCATATCTCGTGTCTAGAAACCAACAA